AGAGCGAGGCTCACTTCATCAAGGATTTCAAGCGTTACGGACCCCCAACCTTTGACGGTGAGAGTGAAAGAGCGACAGCAGCAGAAGAGTGGATCAGAGAGTTGGAAGCCTTTTACGCGTATCTGGGTTGCGAGGACCAATTCAAGGTGAAGGGTGCGGTTTTTATGTTGAGGGGCGAGGCCCTGAACTGGTGGGACTCAATAGCAGCGGCAGAGGATCATGCAAATGTAACAATTCCGTGGGCAAGGTTCAAGGACTTGTTGTACGACTACTATTATCTGGAGACTGTGAAAGACATGAAGGAGGCAGAATTCCTTCATCTCGTCCAGGGAACCTTATCTGTGGCACAATATGAAAGGAAGTTCACGGAACTCTCCCGTTTTGCCCTGGAGTTAATTCTCAATGCGGCAATGAAGATCAAGAGGTTTGTTAAAGGCTTGAGTAAGGGAATCAGAGGACCGGTGGATCTTCAACGACCCGCCAGCTACGCTGAAGCGGTTAGGGGCGCCTTGATTATGGACAAGGATGTCTCTAACAAGGCCCCATCTCTGCCAGAGGTCGGATCATCTTCAGGTGTGAAAAGAAAGTTCCATCCGACTTATGCCGACCCGTCATTGAGAGCACCCCAGCACCAGGCTCAGCACCGGGGCATGCCGCCAGTATGCCCCACTTGCCAGAAAAGACATGCGGGGCAGTGCTGGACGGGAAGTAAGGGTTGTTTCAGGTGCGGAAGAGAGAGGCATTTTGCAAGGGAATGTCCCATGTCGGCCGCAAATACACAGAGGTTAGGCCAGAGGATTTCCCCAACAGTTTCGACACAGGGAAATAACCAAAGGGCTCGTGTCTTCGCACTTACTCGCAAGGAAGCAGCGGATGCCGAAACCGTGGTCACAGGTATTTCTTCTCACTTTTTGGGTGTTGTGTGTGGGTGTATGTCCTTATCTTTGCGTTGTGATCCAGGTACAGTCTTAGTCCATGATGTGCCTGCGTATGTATTGTTTGATTCGGGGTCGAGCCACACTTTCATCTCTTCTACGTTTGTTCGTCAGGCAACCCTCGAAATAGAGCCGTTAGGGTTTTTGTTGTCAGTTTCTACACCATCAGGGTCAGTTTTGATTGCTAGTCAAATGGTGAGGGCAGGTGAGTTATCTTTTGATAATCAGACCCTAAGGGCAAGATTGATCCAGCTGGACATGCAGGATTTTGACGTTATTTTGGGCATGGATTGGCTAGCTACCAACCAAGCCAACATTAATTGCTCGAGAAGAGAAGTCTCCTTCCAACTACCTTCGGGTCGGAACTTTACATTTAAAGGAGTTACGGGTAGAGTTCCAAGGACAGTATCGGCGTTGAAGGCAAAGCKCCTGTTACAGAATGGTGCTTGGGGTTATTTGGCCAGCGTCGTCGACATTAGTAAGACTCCACCTAGTATCGACTCTGTTCACGTGGTCAGGGAGTTCCCRGATGTRTTCCCTGATGACCTTCCGGGGCTACCCCCTATTCGTGAAYTGGATTTTKSCATCGACTTACTACCCGGGACAGCCCCCATTTCRAAGGCACCGTACCGTATGGCTCMAGCGGAACTTAAAGAGCTTAAGGCCCAGCTAGAAGAGCTCTTAGACAAAGGCTTCATTCGCCCGAGCGTGTCTCCTTGGGGTGCTCCCGTGCTGTTTGTGAAAAAGAAAGATGGGTTTATGCGACTTTGTGTTGATTACCGGGAACTAAACAAGGTAACAATAAAAAATAAGTACCCCCTTCCTCGCATTGATGACCTATTTGACCAACTAAAAGGGGAAAGGGTGTTCTCAAAGATATACCTACGATCGTGTTACCACCAGTTGAGAATTAAAGACGCCGACATACCTAAGACAGCCTTCAAGACCAGGTATGGGCATTTTGAGTTTACCGTTATGTCTTTCGAGCTCACTAATGCCCCTGCGGCATTTATGGACCTCATGAATCGAGTTTTTAAGGAATTTCTAGACCTGTTTGTGATCGTGTTTATCGACGATATTTTAATTTACTCCAAGACGGAAGAACAACACGAAGGACATCTGTGGCAAGTTCTTACCGCTTTGAGGGAGAACAGCTTGTATGTGAAGTTCTCGAAGTGCGAGTTTTGGCTAGTTAAAGTGGCTTTCCTTGGCCACATAGTTACCAGGGAAGGCATTGCTGTGGACCCGGCCAAAGTAGAGGCGGTCAGTGGTTGGCCAAGGCCTCGCACAGTCACCGAAATCCGCAGTTTTCTCTGATTAGCTGGCTATTATAGAAGGTTCGTCCAGGATTTCTCTCGGGTGGCAGCGCCTTTGACTCAGCTAACCCGTAAGAATGCCACGTTCGCTTGGAGCGACGTATGCGAGAAAAGCTTTCAAGAACTTAAGGAGCGCTTAGTCATGGCCCCGGTGTTAACAGTACCGGACGGGACGGGACGCTTAGTGGTGTACAGTGACGCTTCACCAAGAGGTTTGGGTTGTGTTCTGATGCAACATGGGAAAGTTATTGCCTATGCCTTACGACAGCTGAAGGTACACGAGCTTAACTATCCCACCCATGATTTGGAGCTTGCTGCGGTAGTGTTCGCCTTGAAGATATGGAGGCACTACCTTTATGGGGAAAAGATCCAGATCTTCACTGATCACTAAAGTTTGAAATCTTTCTTCACTCACAAAGAATTTAACTTAAGGCAGCGGAGGTGGTTAGAACTGGTAAAAGACTACGACTGCGAGATCAACTATCATCCGGGTAAGTTAAACGTGGTGGCCGATGCACTCAGTAGAAGGGCAACGAGCGTAGCCCCTCGGGTAGTACCCCCTAGACCAGTGTTAGACGAATTGGACCGTTCTGAGGTGGAGTTGGCAGTAGAAGATGTCTCGACAGTGTTAGCTCGACTCTCGGTCGAACCCACCCTAAGACAGCGAATCATCGCTGCACAAAGGGGAGATCCCAGCCTGAGCAAGGGATTCGGTATGGTGGGTCAAGGAGATTTTTCTCTTTCGGAAGATACGGCCCTGCTCTAACAGGGGAGATTGTGTGTGCCAAGAGACTTTCCTTTAAGGAGAGATTTACTAACCGAGGCTAATAATACCCCATTCTCGGTGCATCCTGGGAGTACCAAGATGTATAGAGATCTTAAGAAACACTATTGGTGGCACAATATGAAGCGTGAGATTGCTCATTTTGTTAGTAGCTGTTTGACGTGCCAACAGGTGAAAGCCTCCAGGCAGAGGCCTGCCGGGTTGTTGCAACCTTTAAGTATACCGGTGTGGAAGTGGGATGATGAATACGCTTGTTTACATTCGTAAAAAGAAGGTTTTAGATGCTGTTTTTACAATGTTTCAGCTTTGTTTCTGATTTTTCTCGGTCGTTTGAGTTCCAATTCATGCAAAATTCATATATTATGGTTTGTGGTTGGCTTATATTGTATTTATGACATTTTAGGACCATTTGGGAGTGTAAATTAATCAAAAGAAGCAAAAGGACGAAAAAAGCATCATGGGAGGCGCCAGGCGCCTGGGAAGCCTGCAGAAAAACTGGTTTTCTTCCAACTTTGCCCTTAATGAAACGCGTCTTCCAATGCGTTTTGGTGGTTCCAACCGATGCATACGTGTAGAAGAAGTGTTCTACTATCAGTTTGAGCACGATTTGGTCAGTCAAAAGAGTTGGAAATGGGTGATTCACCATCGTTTTAGGACCTACCTAACCAATTCTGCACAGCTATAAATTCCAGCAACTTCTCCACCAAAATCATCAAGCCTTGCTTCCTTCACTTGATCATTTTTAGTGTTTCTTTATTGCTTTCTAAGTACCTTTGAGTTGCTTTCATTAGTTGCTTTTGGTTTTTAAATCCCGAGCACTTTACATTCCTTTATTGAGCTTTGTTTTGTTTCCATTTGTACTTAGTTATTTTCTACTTATTCAAATATATAAAAATCCAGCACTTTGCTTATCTTCCCTTTGCCTTTACTTTAGTTTTAGTTAAGAGAGTTGTGTTTTTGGAGGAAAGAGCACGTGACACTCYCCCTTGCTTGAAAGAGAAGGGCGAAGCTCTCAATCCCGAGCAAAACTCTCCGTTAGTTAACTTTTGTTTTTCACACATGCATTTCGATTTCAACCACTCTACTTGCTGTATTTTCTTCAATATGTCTTTCTAAATTCCCGTCTCTAGCCCGGTTATGGATAGTTAGCCTTTTATTTCTAATAAGGGTTGCTAAGAAGTAGTGTTTTTGCTTTCCATTCATTGCTCAACATGTTTTCCCAAAAAGTTAGGATTTAGAGAAGGCCACTGTAAGTCTTAACAAGTCAATACTGAAAAGGTTGCTTATTTGCATTGTTGAGTGGTTAAACCGAGGAGAGGAGCGCCTTAGACATAAGGGTTCCGCTTAAGTAGCCTAGACATAGGACCTTAACCCAAGGTTGCGACTATTTCCATCCTAAAACTAAGATATCTCTCGTAATAGACATATTAGGGAATGTCTTAGGACTTTGAACTTGCTTAGACATAAGTCAAGTGAAAAGCGTAGTCGTTGGTTCCTAAAGTGAAATGCATATCGTCCTTAGCATATCCTTGATTCTTTGTTGGCTAACTTGAAGTAATTCGGGCTAGGTTTTATCATTATAAGTCCAAATCCCAAATCCAAAACCATTATTTGTGACCA